GCGCTCGCTCGCAAAAGCGTCCCGACGCTCAGTGGTGGGCGGCAGCCGAGGCACGACGTGCACAAGGCCTTCGAAGAGCGTGCTGCCGTCGGTCGGAGCCGTGATCTGGCGCGGGCCGTTGGCAGTCTCGACGGTGACGTTTGCGCCGGGCAGCGCCGAGACGACACTCGGCGCGGAGACGGAGCTGACGTGCGTGCGAGAGCTGGGGATGCGGGACGGTGCCACCAGCAGCACGGCCGACGTGCCGCTACCGCGCGAGAATTTGCGGCCCAAGTCCTCCGCGCCAGGCGGCTTGGGGAACTGGGCGAAACGCAAATCGTACGGGTTGGCTGTCTCGTTCCCCCCAGCCCGGCCAAGGTTGGCGACAACGTCCAGGCTGGCGTCATCAAAGGTGTAGAGGAACAGGCAGTCGTCGCCTAGCAGGTCCTCGCCGGCGAGGCGCGCCCGCGCGGCGATCGACTCGTTGGAGAGAGGGCCTGTCCACAGCCGAGAGGTGTGAAGAGACGCTGCTCACAGCATTGAGGTGCACGCGTGAAGAGTTTTGCCAGCGTAGATGGCGAGGTCGTCTATCTCGCCGTCAAAGCTCATCTGCGGGTTGCCGTGCGTGAATTCGTCCAGACCCCACTTTTGAGGGTACACGTTCATCCCGATGTACATGAAGGCGTCGTCGTCTAGGAAGGCACCGCCAATGTACGCGGCGCCGTCACCGGCCGCGTCGCTACTCACCTCGACGCCGTCGACGTAGACAACGCGCCTGCCATCCGTGGCGTTCCAGCTCTGCGCATAGTGATGCCACTGCGTGGCGTCCACTACGCTGCCGACGGCCGACGGCTCGGGCGCGCTGCTGCCGAGCTGGAACCCTCCGTGAATGCCGGCGAACGGCTGCATAAAGTTGCCCTGCGGACAAGGCGTATCAGGTCGGACAGCGGCAGGGGAGGCGGGCTGGGCGGCAACTGCGGCTGTCCGACAGTGGGATTCCTGAGACTACTAGAGGAGCCGGAATCCGAGCTAGAGACCGTCAGGGTCGACCGACAGCACTGTGTGTATATGTGTTTGTGCGTGCACTCACGTCAGAGGTGCATCCAAGGCCCCAATGGATGGCCGGCCGCGACGCAGTGAGGTCGTTGAAGCGAAGCCACATCATGAAGGTGAAGCCGCTGGCCATCCGCCGCAGCTCTAAGTCATCAGGATCGAGGTAGAGCCGTCGCGTCGCGACCACCGAGCCGGGCTGGCTAAAGCTTAGCGAGTAGCCGTTTCCCGCAGACGCTGGAGAAGAAAGCCCGAGAATGGCAAGCGAGGCGAACCAGCGACGCATCTGCG